TTTTTATTAGAGACATTTTTTAATCTCAGACTTATTTTTCTTTGTGGTTAATAAAGGTAAAAAAGAAATTTTTTTTTAAACATTAGCCATGTTTAATATGAGCATCCAACTGTCACGGCGCAGCCTGAGTGTTGATATGAGGACCCAAGTGCAGACAGGGAATAATAATGGATTGCATTTATACAGTGCTTTTCAGGACCCCTCAAAGCGCTTTACAATTCCACTATTCATTCACACACACTGGTGAAGGCAAGCTACAGTTGTAGCTACAGCTGCCCTTGGGCAGGCTGACAGAGAGAGGCTGACAGAGGCGAGGCTGCCGGACACTGGCCCTCTGACCACCACCAGTAAGCAACGGGTGAAGTGTCTTGCCCAAGGACACAACGACCAAGACTGTCCAAGCTGGGGCTCGAACCGGCAACCTTCTGATTACAAGGTGAACTCCCAACTCTTGAGCCACGATCAATGAGGGTACTGCTCCTTTTAATACACACTGCAAAGGCTGCAGCCCGTTAGACCGCGGCCGTCTCTATCAACTCCAAAACCTTCTTCATTCTGCTCTGCCGTCAGGTGCTGCGCCTACACGCATGCTCACATGTTACATAGACTCTTCACACCCCCGTCACACACAAGCCAGACAATCCCTGCGACATACTCAGACCTCTTTTTCACCAACGTGGTGCCGAGCCTCGGAGAACCAGTCTGCATTTCCTCAGCTTTGAGAACCAACTATGATACAGGATTACAGGTTGTCTGGCTGGGTCTGCCAATCACTGGTAGCCCCTCCCACAGTCACTGACATCAGAGGTCCTGACTTGGTGGGCGTGCGTAGAACTGGTTCTAGTTTGAGCACGGCACCATGTTTGTATAAAAGAGGTGTATCTGCCCCTCCGTCCTCACTCGGGTGGTTCCTGCAGCCCCCGGCGGTGCTCCCTCTCCTCCAGCTGCCCTCGTACGTGGCGGTGTTCCAGAAGCTGGTGGAGTCCTGGCTCAGAGCGTCTGGAGTCAGATTGCAGATCTCCAGCCGGGAGAACTGACGCAGGAACTCCTGGAATGACATCCTGCACAGCGACAGTCGTTTGAACATCTTCGTCCTTTAAAGACACCACAATCATCATCACAGAGCAAACATACCAGAACTCCCCGTCCTCCATCTTGCACAGCATCTCGTCCTTCTCGGCCGAGTCGATGGCGTTCCACTCCGAGGAGCTGAAACACCAACAAACGTTAAACTCTCCGTGCTCTCCTCCTCCCACTTAGCAGAGTCTGACAAGCTGCAGCACTCACTTATCGCTCCATGCTCCGGTCCACTCCACCTGACCCCAGGGGTTCCTGATCCGGATCAGCAGCTCGCGCTGGCGCCGGTACTCCACCTACAGGAGGACAAACACCTGAGATCAAATGAGGAAATCTAAAACTGAGCGGTTCACCTGAGAAACAATGGTCAATGCTAACTTTATTGTCCCCAATGGGAAACTGATTTTCAAAGTGCAGCAGGCAGCAGGCATGAAGGACACTCGATGTCTCTTGGTCTAAAACTGATTCAATAAAACTTTATAAAAAAGGGTCATCATTTTGGGCGCCGGTTTGGCTCACTGGGATGAGTGGGCAACCGGCCCGGGTTCGAATCCGACCCGTGGTCCTTTGCCCTCTCTCTGCTTTCTGTCACTCTTCACTGTATCTATCAGATAGAGCCCAAAATTGAATGAAATGCCTGTTAGCCTGTGTACTACAACAGCCATTAGTGTGTAATATAGTAAAGAACCAGCTGACACACTGAGCTTTGTTAGGTAAAACATCTAAAATCCAACCAACAAAATTAAAATCCAGTTTAAACTGGAAGTCGATCAGCTGCGAGATGTGGCTGATTGTATAAAAACTGAAGAGAAGTCAGTAAAAAGGAGCCGAGCGTGAGCTTTGGCCCCATCCAGGAAACGTAATAGAGCGACCACATCAATGCCCTGCAACAAGCTGCAGAATCTACTTTCTACTTTTCACAGGATTTCATCCCTAGAGCTGTCAAAGCGACCGGCCTACAATCATTTCGTGATCTGGAGCAGTCTGCTGCTGAAGAGATCGACTCAAACACACTTTGGATTGATTTGAGCTTTTTTTGGAAATCCACCAACACATTTAGTCCTTGAACCCCAAAACGCCCAAACCATCCTAACTGCCCCCTGAGGATAAATAAAGTCATTCTGATTCTGACCATGAAGCCAGTCACGTGTTACTGAACCTTCTGACAAATGAAAGAAATAAATTAAATATTCATTTTGCATGACTTTAATTTGGATCCTTGTTATTACAGCCAACGTTTCACAGTTTGTTCCTTAAACAGTGACGTGGTGAAAAATCACACTCTGGTGTTATTCAAACGTAGGGAGGTGAGCTGACATGACTCTCAGGTAACAGTTTGTTACTTTTACCTCGCAGCTGAGCTCACCTGTCTGAGGCCTGTCACAGAGTAGGCGTGGCCTTTGACAAGCTTCTTAAAGGTGACCGCCTCCATGTCGAGGCTGTTGGTGATCTGAAGACAGAAGTTCGTTTGATCAGTGTGGACAAACGCTCCGTTTTCACATCATCACATATAATTACACCTGAAAAACCTGTGACATCACTTCCTGAAACAGAAACAAGCGCCTGCACTGATTTGCTGAAAGTCTGCGGGACATTTTGTGTGTTTGACTCCACGGAGACGTGACTGACGTCGATGGAGCAGCCGAGCAGCGAGCCTCTTTCTAGCGCTTTGCTGATGATGCGATGAAGATCTTTGGGCGCCTTCTTCAGCTCGTACATCTCTGACACGCCTCCCGTAAAGTCCTCGAAGCCCTCAGTGGTGCTGCCGCCGGACAGCGCCTCGTATGACCCGTTCAACCTGAGAAACAACAAGAGACACGCAGTAAACACAAAGTTCACCCGCAGATGCCGTGCTGGATCGCGTTGAAACCGGCGAGGCTGGAGATCGGCACCTGAAACCACAAACAAACACCTACAAACATGAACACCTGTTTGTAGGTGGGCGGGTCTTACTTGGCGTAGGCCTTCTCCAGCAGAGCGCTCCAGAACTCAGTGCCTTCAGCCGAGTGGACGAACAGCAGCTCGCCATCTTTGACTGGCAGCCGGTCGTCGATCACAACGTCCACCCACTGCCCAAACTGCCAGAACTGCAGAGCAAGAAGGAGAATCAGTCACCTCTGACAGGTGTGTCCTCATCCAGCATCAACCACCAGCCGCACTCAAACCATGTCCACAAAGCACGTTTTACAGGTGAATGAGCGTGGCCTCGGTGCAGAAAGTCTCACCTGGAAGTGGAAGATGCCGGCGTATTGGTGGCTGAAGCTCTGACCGTGAGGAACAACGCGATGCAGCAGCTGCTCGTTCAGCGTCAGCGAGCCAATCGCAGCCAGCAGCCAGCAGTCACCTGCAGGAGCACGCACAGGTGAGACAGGTGCACACCTGAGCCTCTTTTACAAGTTACTTCAGCCTGAATGAAGTGAAGCTGCAGCCTCTGCTTATTCTTTTTAATCTGATCTGATTGGACAAACCTGAATGGAGAGGCAG